GGGGTTCGTCTGTGAGTCCACCAGGCTCTGTTGGGTACCTGACTCACGTTAGCGGAATTAAAGGCGGCTGGGAAAGGCGCTGTCAACACTGTCCTTTCATGTAACTAGATCACTGCAATAGGTTAAGTCTACTTCACCTGCCCCATGGATCGTTTGGTTTGAAAGGGTTCTTTACTTAACACCTCAGACGTTTATATATATATATATATATATATATATATATATATATATATATATATATATATATATATATATATATATATATATATATATATATATATTATATATATATATATATGTTTGGAACGATGGTTTCTTTTTTGCAGGATGTTTGTACAAAGGTTCCTAAAGGAGGATCGCTACAACTGCTACTACTGGGTAAAACAGGGTCAGGTAAAAGTTCAACCGGAAACAGTATTCTGCAGAAAGACGTATTCAAAGCCTCGTATAGCACAGCCTCTGAAACAGATGAATGTGTCTGTGAATCGAATACGGTAGACGGACGGCTGATAACGGTCGTTGATACCCCTGGCGTGTACGACACGACGTTGGAGTACGACGATATCACGACGTTTTATCAGCCGCTAAAGGTTATAGGTAACAGCATTGCCATGTGTCCGGGGGGTGTGCATGCGTTGCTCATCGTGTTAAAATACGGAACACGTTTCACGAATGAAGAAAAAAAGTCCATCGCAATGTTGAAAATGGTGTTAGGTCAAGATGTTTTGAAAACACATGCGGTTTTAGTGTTTACGTTTGGGGATTTATTTGAAGAAGAGTTTGAGTTTGAGAAATGGTTACATCAGGAACACGACCCATACTTTACTGAGATCCTGAAAGAGAGCCAATACCGATGTGTTTTGTTCGATAATAAAACAAAGGATCCGACAAAACAGAAGATGCAGATCGTTCAATTAATTGATTTTGTTGATAACTTTAGGGGTGAAATGTACAAACAAGGGATGTTCGAAAGTGCTGAAAAAGCCCGAGCTCAATTTGTTACAAGTAATGAGCTATTAAATAATTCGTATAGAGATAGCATTAGATACATAGAGATAGGTTTGGCACAAATTTTACACCATGGTGATACAGAGGACAAAAGAGAGGAAATTGACATGTTAATCAAAAAACTTGAAACACTTAAGGCATTTTTGTCAACAAGCAGAGATAAAAAGTCAAACGATACGGCGGGTAAGATTAAGAAGGTGGTGAATAAAATTGAAAAACATTTACAGCGTGGCAATCAAAATCTTGCCAGGTTTAAATATTTGAGTCGTATAAAAGACATGGTGAGGGAGCTTCACGAGGAGTTGAATGCGTTGGATAGAAGCATCGCCGTGCGTTTACAAGACGAGTACCAGCAGCAGGGTTGTTTTCCATGCCATGCTCAAGTGGAATTACCAAACAAGGAAGTTATCTTAATGAAAGACTTGAAGGTTGGAGACTTAGTGTTGACTCGTGGACAGAATGGAGAGTTTTGTTTTGACCAGGTCTATATGTTTGGTCACCAGGAGTGTGACGCGTCTTCACGGTATATTGAGCTATCCACCGACACGCATACAGTCGCGGTATCGGAGAACCATTTCGTGTTTTGTGTAAAAGGGGACAAGGAAGTCTGTCTCCCAGCTAAAGACGTACGAGTTGGAGATTATTTGATTGTTACAGGTAATCAAAACTGTGCCAGTGCGCGTGTAACTAAAATCACGTACACATATCACCAAGGCCTGTACGCCCCATTCACCACCAGCGGTACCATCATTGTCGATGGTGTTCTAATGTCCTGTTACATGAACGTCCTTCCCCACAATACATGCCATCAACTGCTGATGCCCGTTAGAGCATTATTCCGTGTTAGTCCGACTGTGTTGGCTTTTCTCAACGGTCTATATACGATGAGATCAATGCCTTGGTGGGCTGCCCTTGTCTTGAAGATTGCTAAAATATAGTTGTTGATATGCTATTGTTTTGATGTCTTTTGCAATTTATTTTTAGGTAAAATTATTATCTATAATATAAGCGGGCTGAGCGTGTGTCAGTCCTTCCTTCCTTCCTTCCTTCTGTCATCGCTATAGCTTTTGGAACCATAAAAGTAAACATCGCACCATACTGTGCTTTTCAGTGCACCGCAGTGTCTTATTATAAGTAATAGAGTAGGGTTTGTTTATATAACGACATAGAGCTATTTTATAATTGCCACTGTGTTTACTCTTTTGCATAACTTAAAGAAAATATTAAATACACGCGCATTGCTAAAACATATTAAAAGGATCAATGTCAAATATCATTTTCGTTTATATTCCTAGAAAAAAGTGGATACATTTTAATAACATAATAACAGTACGGTAGAAAAATCAAATTAATTTAACTCTTTTCTAATTTTGACAAAGGAGGTAATTTAAAAATACATTATACTCACGCTAATAAAAAATGTGAATGCAAATATACGTTCGTCAAAGAAGGAATTAGTGTTGCAATAATATAATTAGCAAAATGTGAATGCAAATTATTCGGATATGTAAGAGGAAATTATTGTTAGAAAATTATAATTAACATGGATTGATAAAAGGCAATCTTTTATTTATTTTATTCACTGAATGTAGGCCCTACTGTTTATTACTTATAATTTTTAATCAACTATTCAGCACTATTATAGACGCGTCATCACGTTCATTAGGTGCGCAATGGTTTTAGTTTTGAAACTCTATTGTAAATTTTTAAAATTTAAAGTACTGGAAAAAAAATGCGTGAATGGATAAAGTGAAATATTGTTGTATATATTATAGATACTGCCTATTATTTATACTGTTTTCTGATTATTATTCTATCTTTCGGGTTTTATAGGAGAGGCGTAGCGAAATGGGGGGGGGGCATATGTCTCCGGGTGCCGACCTTAGGGGGCGCCAAAGTGGGTTGGAAAAAATTTGCGAGGGGGGGGGGGGGAGGTGGTGGAAATCGAAAGTTTTAGGGCGGGGGGGAAGGGGTGCAAATCGAAAGTTTGAGGGGGGTGCAAATCACCGGAAAGGGCGCGATTTGGCGCTACGGGCTAGACTGTGAGCAATATGCCTTTATGATTGCATTTAAATTGTGTATATGTTATGAGTGTTGTGTTTGTTTTTTCGTTTTTTTTTTGTTTTTTTTTTTTTTTTGCGTTCGTTTGTTTTGTGTTTAGTTTTGTTCTGTTGGTACATTTAAAAAAGATTTACCGTGGCGGAGCACGGGATGCAGCTAGTATTATTATAAATTATTTTATTAACGACGAATTTATGAAGGCTTCTGATGTACATTATTACAACGACTTAAGATTGTGTTATATTTTTTGTAAATTTAAAAGTAACATTTTTTAAAGTAATTGTACCTTAAATCATTTATGCAGAGCAAAAAAATTCCCAAAGATATTTTAAAATATCCACCAGATTACTCTACAGCATAAGGTAACTTTTGTAAATGTGCAAAAAAAAAAACAAAAAAAAAATCGAAATCGAGATTGTGACAAAGTTCGAAACTTTACACCTGGGCACGAAAAAGTAGTTTTGTTATCATGTCTGCATGTATGGACACGATTCCTTGAGTACTCGTCGGTTAGGTGGGCGAAATACGTGTTTTTTTTTAATACAACTTTGAGCAATATCAGGTAAATTAGTTGTACTTTATTTGGTTTCCAGTTTCTCAATATCCATCGGAATGTTCTTCTATATCATACAAAGCATTATAATCTAAAAACGTTCTCCTTCTATGTTTTATATGGTCACATATGTTTGTGATATTTCTACTTCGACCTGAAGTGCCATTCCACCCTGTTATTTTCTAATGTTCGAGAAAGATTAGGGGAGCTCACTCTCGCGTTATTTGACTATTTTGACGTTTTTCTTTCCAATATGTTGAGAATAAAAATGAGTTTGTTAAAAACAATTGCTTCACTCCTAATTTAATCTCGAATCTATTAAGTTTCACTGCATGTTTATCGCTTAAGCTATTTCTACATGTGCATTAACACACACACACACACTCATACGCACGCATACGCACACACTCATACACACACATACACACTAACGCGCACGCACGCAAATGCAATCATGACGAAACCTTTTGGCAACATTCAGGACTAGCGGCTTTCAACACCTGTAATCTAGCTTAAAGTAATCAGATATGTTTTAATTCATTCCAACAACTGGACATATATATAGGTTCATGTATAAAAAACGCCCCCCTCCCCCACCACGCAACCAACCCCTTCTTATTTGAAGCAGCCCCTAGTGTGTGCTCTTCAATACCTCCCCTTACCCCCCCCCCCCCCCACAGATTTGCCTGTGTTCCAAAAACATACGTACACCTGTAAAAAAAAAAGATTGGCATCGGTAGCATAACTGCATCCATAATGTGAAAACGTTAGCTTGAAAATGCTCACGTGATAATCCCTATGGGTAAAGCATTACACAAACATTTACAGCTGTAGACATTACAGAATAAAAATTCTTATTCCAGAATGTATGAAATATGTATTTATTTAATGGATGTTTAAACATATATAAGTCGAATAAGCAACATTTTTACATTGAAAATCATATTTCTATTGTGCTGACTGGCTTCTTCTTTTACTTCTTCGTACTAAATTGCAATATTGGAAGGAATTTCCTCCAAACAGAAACGCATTACGTGACAACCTGTTAATCGACATTTAGGCCATTGATTCAGATTTCAGTCAGCTTTTTTTCTGGATTTACTTCCATAGCCTTTGTTCAACCAAGAACAAACTACAAGACAGCAGTTGTTTGATTTAAAAGTTGTCTCTCCTAGAGGAGTGGCTGTCCCCAGCTGTCGAGCCTCATCTGCTCGAGAGTTCAATAGAGTCTCATTGTTCAATGGAAAACACTTAAGCAAATAACTAATGGACATTCTTTGTTTAAAAATTTTAGCGGAATGACTTAGTATACAAACTACATGCGTCGCCCGAAGATCTGAAGATCACAGTATGAAAAAAGGAAAACTTAGTTTACATATCAAGCAAACATTTTTCTAGCAAGTCCCATAAAAGACTTTGCCCATAGTGGGACGGTGTGAACATCGCGAAATGTATTTACCGCAGATAAAAGGCGAGGGGAAACGGTATGCAATGCTCGGACAGGGGCTAAGAGTTGATGAGAAATGTTGTGTGAGAGAAAATGTATGTAGCAAGACATTAGCGTGGAGTTGACTACTATGGTACCGTTTCGCGTGAAAGGTGCATACAGACCTACATCATACGCGTCGGTGATTTCAGTTATCGGAACGTGGATCAGGTGTTCGTGAGAGGCAAGGAGGAGAATATCACCGACTTGAAGATGTTTAGCGGGGATACATTTCTCTTGACCTCTGGTCACACAAAAGACGTAATGGTCCCCCGTGACGGAGACGCTGTGTGCTTGTGTGTGAAGGGTGATGAAGTGGGATGTAACATTGTGTTCCTGGTGTCCAAACATGTAGACCTCCTCATACACCAGCCGACCAGAGCTGTCACGTGATAATACTCGGTCCCCGACTCTCAGATTCATCATGGCAACCTGTTTACCGCTGCTTAAAACAATGATGGCTTCTCCGGGAAAGCACGCGTTTTTCTCTACTTCTCTTCGGACTATGGGATACACGTTTTTATCCATTTCTGTTTCCGCGTCTCTTAATGTGTTCAATAACTTTTTAATTGAATCAAAACTTTTTAGGTATATCTTTGTGGGCTTTTCTATTCTAGAATATTGACTTATTTCTTCGCGGACTATAGCCAGACTGCGAATCAACTCGACTGAATGTTTATCCTTGTTGTTGGCTAGCACCGTGCATAAGTCCTCAGTTTTCTGTATGATGTTTTCAATGAGTTTTAATTCATCTCGAATTTCATGACTGTCTTCCGTAAGAAGGTCAATTGCCAATTCTATGTAATTCAACGTCTCGTGGTACGAGGAAGTAAGTAACGGGTTCTTTAAAATATACTCTTTCCGTTTATTTTCGGCGATTTCAAAGATCCTGCTCGTATAGCGGACGCCCTTAATACTGTCAACGTGTTCGATGAGTTGTCTCATCTGATCAAGCCGGGTTCCGCTGTCTTTAGTCCTGTTATCGAACATAACACAGCGATAGTTACATTCTTTGATCAGCGCTTCAAATTGGGGGTCATGCTCACCACGAAGCCAGGCTTCAAACGTCATATCGTTTTCAATAGTATCACCGAATGTAAACAAACATATGCTATGTGTTTTTATCACGTTTTCCCCCAAAACCGTTTTCATCATTTCTATGACGGCTTTCTCTTCCTTTGTCATCCTTGAGCCATACCGTATAACTAAAATAATCGCATCAAACCCGACACCGCATAAAGTAATCCCTTGGCTGATTACCCGAACAGCATGCGCGATCGAAGACATATCTCTTGAGTCGAGGGTAGTATCGTACACCCCAGGGGTATCAACAACAGTTATCAGACGGCCATCAATAATCTCGGACTGTTTTGAAGACTCGGAAGTCTCAGAGTGGGTGGAAGAGGACCGTTTGAAGACAGCGTCTTTTCTCAAGATGGTGTTGCCGCAAGTGCTCTTTCCTTGCCCTGTTTTTCCAACCAGTAAAAGCTTGAGGGGAACGCCAGGGGGTATCTTGGTGGTCACGTCCTTGTTGAAAGAAAATGAAAAACTTGGTTTAATAAAGAATAGAAGCTTGGTTTTAAAACAACAACAAGGAAAAATACCTCTTGTTAGAAGAATTTTAAATTGTACTCTAAATCGAAAATAGGCTTTTTCAATCTAAACTTTTCAATATTATCGAATGATCCACATTGTTTTAGCTTAATTTCTAAATAGCAAGAAGTAAAGAAATAGAATTTTATAAAATCATTGCCACATTTAAAAACGACTAAATATTAGTATAAATCGTTATTTTAAAATGATTGTATGCTAATACTATATCCTACCTTAACATAATCTGATAAATTCTTCAAAGGGTTTAATCTAGTAAGGGTGAGAATCTTGTCAGCATTTGAGTAATCTGTTAACAAGTCCGCCTCGCAGATATACTTGTTTATTTTCTGCACATCCATACGAACTCGGCCGATGAACTCTTTGTTTCTCTGCAGTTGGTTTTCAAGGGATTTCTTGCATTTGACTTCTAATTCCTAAACAATTATTGATTGTATATTATTACTTTTACTTTGCATTGGTATTATTGGCTTGATAAACTTTCACTGTGTTTATATCATCCATTTAAAAAACAGGAAAATAATAGTTGATAAATTACATTTAAAAACCAATCAAAGAAATTGTGCCTTGAGAACAAACACTTTCACATAGGAAAATCAATAATGCACACGATTATAAAAAGATGTGCATGTCTTTCGTGAGAAGGAATTTATTAAGTTCAACAAAATTACCTTTATAAGTGCATCTATTCCAATACAATCAATGAAAACATCATATAGGCGTGAGGTGAGGTTCTGTTTGCTGCCAATATTGAGTTGAGCCAGCAGCGTAGGACACATGACCCTTTGTTGACCATCACCCGATATCTCGATTTTCTCTAAGTTTTGAGAGACAAAAATAAATACGTAACTTTTGACACAAGAACGGACTGCTAAATTATCAAAGGGCATGTATAAGCACATACACAAACAGACACACACACATACAAATTTGAATCTAATTAAACATTATGTCATTCAACATTACGTCTCATTCTGCATGTTCTATATCCTACACGCTGTGATTGGTTTTGATTGTGTACGTTTACTCTACATTTAAAAGCTACATTACTAAGTTGTTCATCAACGCATTTTACTTTTTTTTAAAATCATATCAATGTGTTAAAATCCACTGTTACGCAATTCATCTTTGTTAATTTTACTGATTGCTTTTTTTAATGTTGTGATTTCTATTGTTAGTTTTCATTAAAACTCGTAAAATTCCAGTACCCTTATAAAATGATTCAATTCCCGCACTAATATATGTTAGTAGTTTATCTTGTTGAAATCTTGTCTGCTGGGAATTATCAGATGTTTGGTTGTCGTATTCTAAAATATAAAATAAAATTAGATTGATAAAAACATGTTAAACTTGTAAATTATTCATAAAAGCGATGCATATGGTTATGGATAAAAACAATTACCAATTTCTGCTTCTTGACTTAAAAGTTTACGAAACTTTACGTTCGAATGTGTGATCTTTTCCAAGACGCTACATTGATCTTTGAAGGCAGTTAATGTTTCAATCAAGCTTGTGACAGTTTTTAAGCACAATTCTTGGTGACTGAATGTTTTAATATTTACATAACAGTTTTTATAACCCAATTTTTTGTTTTTTATTTTGACGTCAATTTTGCTCAGAATCGGTCGCAGGATTTCAATATTTGCGTCGTCCAGTACGCCCTCACTGCCAACAGTCTCCTGAAGTTCGTCCTCAAAATCCTGTTTGATCATCTCAAATGTTGTTGTATCTAAAAATATTAAGATAATCGTTTTAAGGTTCAACCATATTTGTTCAATATAAAGGTTATGTAGCTTTAACCAACAGACTTTTTTTTCACATGCTTTTTATGGGTATGGTTATTTTACCCTAACTAGCAATTGTTCCACTAAATATTTATAGTGTAAAAAGCAGCAATAAACGCGAGAGTTCAAATACAAGATAAAAAATTTATGTATAGATATATCTAATACATGTATTTATTAATTATATATTTAAATATCTATTTCTTCTTCTATGTCTCCTGCTTTGAGCTCAATTGTAAAATTGGAAGGGATTCCCTCCAACACAATTAAGTATTACATGACGATTTAATATGCGCCATATAGGCAGTTGACTCCGATTTAAGCCATTTTTTTTGTAGATTTGTTTCTAAAGCCCTTTACCAATCAAGAACAAACTACAAGGGAGGAGTTCACAGATTTTGGAGTTTTCTCTGCAAGATGAATTGCTATCCCCAGCTTTTGAGCCTCCTCTGACCCGGGGTTAGAAACAAATAAACTCTTTTTCATCTGTTCAGTGGATCGCTAGGTCTAAAGAGGAATCTTTGCTTTTACGTGTACTTTTTACCTTTTCGAGCCTGCTGGTACATATGGCAGGTGCAGTAGAGTACACGTGCTTCTTCAACCTCGGCATATAAAGATATAGTATGGTCAACACTGTGTCCCGCCGCCATTATTTTCCCTACTGTGAGTCAGGTACCAATCAGTGCTTATTGGGTGGACTCCGGATTATTGTCTAAGGACAAGAACCCGGTATTCGAACTCGGCACTTTCGGGTTAGCAGTCGTATGCTCTACCATACGCCCACACCGTACCACATTTTTCTTCAAACAGCAAAACAAATTTTAAATTTACTGGACGTATAGACTGTACACGAAGTACCTTCACATGTATATGTACCACATTTTTCTTCAAACAGCAAAACAACTTTTAATTTACTGGACGTATAGACTACACGAAGTACCTTCACATGTATATGTCAGTACAATGAACATCTGTGTCCCTATGTTCAGCGACTTGATCCAGTGTGTGTCCCTCTCGCCTCCATCATTGTCAGGGGTGGTTGGAGCTTTGGAATGGTCTATCTGTCGGTAACCAGCCACATCTTTTTCGCCTAACTTCCCCTGCAAGATAGAATAATCTTTGCATGATTTATATGTTTATTCCTGATTGAGATTCAACAAGAAGATATATAGGCCTAATTATGCATATACAAAACTAAAAGACTAAAAATAGACCTTTTTTAAAAGTCAATAATGAAAATACAAATGTGTTTCAATAGTCATGTTTTAGGCAAACATTAACATATTTTGTTAGAGTTGTTGCCGGCCCATTTCAAAGTTAATTTAAAGTTAAAGACAACGATATTAAATTGAATGGTTATTTTGTTTGTTTTAATTAATGATAGGGACATGGTTTTATTGTAACTATACTGAAATGTAAATACGCCATAATTAAACATATTGTAACATAATATAGTAGAACGTCCCTGAGTCCACCAAGATCTAATGGGTACCCAGTTTTTTTTTCCAGCCTTTTATCTCCGGGGGGCACTTAATATTTCCGGGGGCGGAGGGGGGGGTGCGGACAACATTTTCCGGGGGAGCGGACACTGTTAAAAGTATATGTTTTCGATATAAATTCCATTTCGCTCGAGGGAGGTGGCGGTAGATTTTCTTCCGAAGAGATGCCTGGAAGAAACTCCGTAAAAGCGGCTCGACATAGTGCCTCAATATGCCGAGGTCTAAGAAACAGATATGTTCCGCCGCATGAACCGTCAGGTTTGATACGGTACTTTGTATAACAGGCATTACAGCGTATGTTATCAGCTAACCATCAACAATGTATAACACATCTTCTATAATACAAACTAACCCGGGCACAAGACAAAAACACCCAGCACTATTCTTGTTACCCAACCTTGACTAACCCTAACACATACCTGTGAGCACTTCGCCGCCGTGTAGGTCAAGCTAAATAAAACCGTGTGAACAGACTCAAACCGTGCGGTGCTCAGACAATACTTGACCACCTCATCTGCTATGACGCCAGCATCGACTTTCAGTGCATATTCCACGGGTACGCCCAAGGTGTTGATGACGTGATACACATCTTTTACTAGACAAAACCTACTTGAAAACCTGTTCACCTGTATTATTAAGGTTTACGGGGAAAAAATGTACCTACAATTAATTTCACACATATTTAATGTCATCTTGGTTTTGTTACAAAATAACTTTTGTCTGTCTGTCTGTCTGTCTGTCGGTCGGTCGGTCGGTCTGTCTGTCTGTCTGTCTGTCTGTCTGTCTGTCTGTCTGTCTGTCTGTCTGTCTGTCTGTCTGTCTGTCTGTCTGTCTGTCTGTCTGTCTGTCTGTCTGTCTGTCTGTCTGTCTGTCTGTCTGTCTGTCTGTCTGTCTGTCTGTCCGTCCGTCCGTCCTTATGTCTGTATCTTAAAATTACAGATTTAACTATACGTTCTGAATAGCCCTCACTTAAGGCCAAAGACCACTATGGTTTAGTTCAAAATTAAAATATTTATTTACCGGCGAAGTGAGCGGAATCCCATTGGTGACCACTAGAGTGCCCGTGTTTATGTCTTTAAAATTTCTGGCATTGAAGGAAAATCCTAATCTCATTCCTTCATGATACGGCACGGTCTTCATCATGGCTCCAGTGTATCACGAAAGATATTTGAAAAATAGTATCATGTGTTAGATTAAATATCTTTGGTAGATTTTCAAAATATCGTCCAAACAAAAATCACTGGCTGATACTTGGTTTTTAAAAATAGCACAGTTTAATTTTTTCAACCAACTTGATTAACTCATAAACGATAAACGTAAAGGTGATTAATTTGTCAAACTAAGATCTATGACATACAAAGATAAAAGTGCTTTTGGCTAGCTTAAAGAATCAGCAACTAAAGTTAAAAATAATTAGGCTAATTTAAGAGCTACGCGCGCTAGAAAATAAAACATTGTAGTAAGAGGTACTTGTTGAAGCCATAGTACCGATTTGACCATTAAAATAATTATACATGATTTAACCATTTAAAATGTAGGATGTGACGAGTGTAAAAGTGCCAACAAATGATGCTAATCATAAATTATTTTTTAACGACTTGTAAAAATGGTTATTAAAATTTTAGACATTTTATATTTTTAATAACAAGAAAAAGATAAAATTAAATGTGTTCAATAACTGTACGCTTTCCTTACAGTATGTCAAATAAATTATACTTTCAAAGATCAACTTAAAATATATACATCTGTAATTGTAAGCTTTTCATCATCATCTTTTCCCGTTCGTGCCCAAAACACACGGGCACATGACAAAGATGGCACCTGTTTCTATGACCTCGGCATACAGTGGGATAGTGTGGTCAGCACTATACCCAACCGTCTTTTATTTCCCTAACGTGAGTCATGTAACCATCAGAGCTGGGTGGACTTAAGACGTTCTACAGACTCTAGCCCAGGATCCGAACGCAATACTTTGGAGTTAGAAGACGTAAGCTCTACCACTCCGTCCCTAATACGCTTTTAATTTGCACCGAAAATAAGAAATTGAACCAAAATAGCTTTCCTAAATTAAAGCATTAATAGGCATAATATTTGAGAAATCTCATGAGCCACTAATACTTTTAATGGTACATTTTCTTTTCATTGCATCTAGAAACTTATTATTATAAAGGTGTTTTTAAATATAAGTATTATTTTCCACGTTTTAGTAATTGGTTCTTAATGATGTCAACACCGCATACGACTAAAAATATTTTATTTTAAATCCCAATGGGTAGATTGAAATCATAAAATCAATTTTATTATCAGTCGACTCTCGCGCTAAAAACCAACCAGACGTGAAAAAATAGTTCAATGTCACCCACTAGCTAATCAAGCAATCGCTAATATCTTATCTTGTTATCTCCACATTTTTTATTGAAGTAAGTTATCGTTTAAATATTTTTTAATGGCTAATCTAATTTCTGATTAGATTAAAAATGAGATATTCTTGCAATGTAATCGGAGACAAGTGTATTTGAGAAGATGAAATGAAATTACTGCATTAGATTTAGGTAAAAATTGAGTACACATTTAGCCACAGACAAACAAAAAAGCCATTAAAAAAGAATAAATAAACAAACAATGTAACCTTATTTTATAAATCTTATAATTAAAATGGTTGAAGTTAGGAGTTGAGTATCGTGGTGAGTGTTGTGTTGGATGTCGTGTTGAGTGTTGTTTGCAGTATTGTGTTCCGTATTCTTGTGTTTTGGTCGTGTGGTGTATTTGATATAGTGTTTGGTATGTCGTGTGTGTTTTTTGGTATGGTTTGGACGTTTATGCTTTTTTAGAGTCTTGGGTGTTGTTAGTGTAATTTAGGGCTTATTGAGGTGTGCTTCATGTATTGTATAATGACTTTTTCTATTAATGGCTCTCGTTAATTATTTTGATATTACATGAAAACTTAAAATATTTTTTAATAAACCAATTTCAGTTTGTATTATTGGTATACCCTCAAATCAATCTTAAATTATCCTTTCTTTAACACAGTCATAAATCTTAAATTGCAACTCGATAATTTTTTATTTTATTTAAAAAATATAAACTTTGATAAATTCTTTATAATGTTTTTTTTTAAGGTTGTATCGGATCGACCCGATTACTTTCGATATTTTTTAAAATACCATCGCCTACAAAACATTATCTAAAAGTATTGTATGTCAAGAAATGGACGGCTGATGGGCACGCGTGTCAATATTTACAATCTATAAAAAAAAAAGATCACATGATTTCTTCACTTTAGTGTATTATATCAAATGAACTAATTTGATAACGTAAATAGAGTTCACAGGCCAGTGGTTAGAAATAAGGACTTTGTTTACTTTGATAACACTTTTTAGAAATACTTACATATCTCTGAAAATGTTATCGTTGATGATAAAGATGCTAACAAGTAACAAAAAAATAATAGTGCTGTTTCTTTTAATGATAAAGTTTTGAAAAGTGGAATGATAGTATTTATCCACAACAGGTTATTGTTTAATCTATATTATATCACAGGTACGTGGAGCCCTATTTATTATTTTATAATATAATTTATCAAAACATGGTGGGGAAGGCTTGGTATACAGAATGGTTTGATTTTTAAATAAACCGGGAGTGATCTCCCCTAAACTTTCTCGAATATTCTTATATAAAACAACAGGGGAAGGGAACTCGGGATATAGTTATGATTTTTAATCCATTTTAAATACTTAAACTTTTTAAAATAGAATAGAATCTTATAGAAAAAAGAATTGCGCACCAAGCGAACGCCAAAACAAAATGTGCATAATAGTGCGGAATATTATTAGTACTTTATAAATTTACAAGCGTTTTTTTGAGAAATCGGAAATAACATAAATTACTACTTCCTGTCACACGGAAATTACTCCAAATTTGATATAAGGTAAAGGATTAGATCTTTTACTTACGTGTGAAATTTCATTTATCTATCTGAAATAGTACTCAAGTTATAGGCTTTTGAAAAATTCAAAGTAGAAAAAATACCACTTCCGGTTATCGGAAATCGCTCAAAAGTTGATACGCATCTACGATTTTGATAAAATATTTACATATGAAATTTCTATCAACCTAGCTGTAACGGTACTCAAGTTATCGTGTTTACACACACACAGACAGACACACAGACATACGGACAAGATTGCAAAATTATGTTTTTCCGTATCAGTAAAACGTCGAGATTTGTAAAAATCTCGATTTTTATTTGCACGATTTACAAGACTTTCTCTATACTTCGTATATACGAGAAAGTAAAAAAGTAATACAAATAGTAAATACATTATTTATAACAAAAATTTTGAAAAAAAATGATAAGATTCCAATAAATCATTATTGTTTACAACATGTGTGCGGCTCAGTTGTAGTAGGGGTTGATTGCTAGAATGAAATGAAATAGAATGAAACAAAATACGAGTGGCGGTGGTCTAATCAATGTATATAACGCACGATGTCATTATATGACTGGAAGGTGGATCGGTATGTCAACAATGTGCATGATCATCAGTGATGAGATAAACTGAAATTATCTGTTAATTTTTTTTATATTTACCAAAGATCTACGGTGGTGTGATTAATTTGATAAACTTTCTAGCCTACATTAATTATCATTAAATGATTTGTAGTTGTCTTTTTATCAAATTATGTCGGCTGATTCGAATTTAATGATACTATGGAGGTCAAGGATAACTCGTGGCTTTCAGATATTTTAGACAAATGTCTGACCCTGAACATTAGGATACGTGACTTTCAACACGACTACACTCCACCCCCTCCCACCCCCACCCCCAACACACACACACACACATTCTGCTAAAAAATCTGGAGCTTGATATTATTCCGCTGTCTATTATTGACTCTAAACTGAATACAAAAATTGAACTTTACACTGCAAGTCAGATTAGTTCATGGTTAGTGTTAGGGTTAGAGATAAGACTAGCTTAAGATTAATGTTAGGGTTAGGGTTAGATGGCCATAGGTTGCTTTAAATAAACGTTTGTAGCATAGTCAGGTGAAAACCACTTTAAGAGGCTTGAGCTGATAATTAGGACGAACACAATCAGTCCTCTGACCACAAAATTAATGATTCTGAACAAAACATCAGTTGAATTTTATTATTAGTTTAAAAAATTATAACGTTTAATAACTATACAAATCGTATATAATAATATCTTCCTGAGTGGTCCATTGGTAGAGCGCTCGACCGCTAACCCGAATGTCACGAGTTCAGTTCAGTGACTCAAACGTCTGCAGGACGTCCCTGAGTTCATCCAGTTCAGATGGGTACCTGACTCAATTTAGGGAAAACAAAGACGGCAGGGCATAATGCTGATCAACCCTTCATATGCCGTAGTCACGCAGCAAATGAACTCTACTGCATCTTCTCTTGGTCAGTAATGGGGACTAATACCTAAGTATGTTAGGTTATTTGTTTTTTGAATATCCTATAACGCCATGTTGGGTAATAAAAGTTGACGATTCTCTTGAACACGCATTCTGTTTACATATCATCATGAATGGTTGATGGATAGCTATAATTTTCACGCCCTATGTTATTACTATGATGTATTTATTTTTTTATTTGTAAACGTTAGTTATATTCTTAAAATAAATAACATACCAAAAGGCTGAAAATATAATCAAAAGTTTAGTACGTATTAAAAAATAAACATTGCGAAATCGAATTAATTTTATTTCATTTAAATTTTGGTAAGAAAAAAATGTGAGTATGAAACATTGAGAAATGATATATGTCTTTGTTGAAATGATTATACGATGACATACTTACAACATGTTTACTTAATGTTAACTTTGAAAAATGCAACTAAGTTAATACAAATAATCAAACACGCGAATAGATTCACCTATTTTTTTTTGTTTCCTTGTATACAAAGTTTAGAGAAAATATTGCAATCGTACAAAAAAAAAATCAAAATCGAGATTTTAACATTCTCGACGTTTTACACTTCCCTGAGTCGGAAAATCTTAGATTTGAAATGTTGTCTTTATGTCTGTATGTCTGTCTGTCTCTGTCTGTGAATTGAACAATTGAGTACGTGTATGTAATATTGAAGAAATTTCATATATAAGTATCATATAATTTTTTTTAGTTTTCTAATAACTTTTGCGCGATTTTTCGTAACTGGTAGTATAACTGGAAAAATCGGGTACTGGTTCAGTAAAGTAAACGAAACTTCATATCTAAGTATACGTTCTGATACTTGAATAACTTTCAATTGTTTATAGAGCCACCTGTATCCGCAAGTGGTACTTTACTCTATTACTGTTTTCTAAAACGCAGATAACAAGAGTACCGCTACAGGCAGGTGGTCGAAAATGTGAGTGATTTCCGGTGAACGGAAGTAGCACTTTACGCTATTTCCGATTTATCAAAAACCATAAAAATCGAAGTCTGTCTTTTGGCAGAAAATTGAGAGAGAAATTTCGACCACTATTTCCAGACCGATTTCTTTGAAACTTTTCAAGTAGGTCAAGACGCGATGACAATGCGTAGTGACAATCGAGCTGCTGAATTAACTTTTTAAAAATTAATCAATGTTTCCACTATAAAATACTAATTATTATTTACCAATCTACTATAAACACATATTTTAAGTTCATTTAGTGCGTAATTATATTTTGTAATCAATTGTATTCTATTAAAAAAATGTACGAGAAAGTTTAGGGGAAATCATCCACTCTTTATTATCATTATAAAGAGGTGGTATTAATAGTTTTGAATAACTTCTTAAATAAATGTTATGCATCAATATAGAACGATAAAAAGTATTTTTTTTTTATTGAAATGTACTGTTATTTAATCAGGTGAATATGAAATCAACAGCAAATGTCAATGGAAAAGTAAATAATTTACTTTATAGTGTAGGCCCTGACTATTCTTCTTGTTTTTAAACATTCTGATTACTTTTATTGCTATTTCTGCCCATTTTGGGATATATTTTGAATGATTTTGCTGGTTGATAGCTGCAAGTAGTTTGGGACAAATGGTATAGGCCCTGATTATTCTGCTTGTTTTTTAAACATTCTGATCACTTTTATTGCTATTTCTGCCCATTTCGGGATATATTTTGAATGATTTTGCTGGTTGATAGCTGTTAGTAGTTTGGGACACAAGGTATGCAAAGAACGAATGGGGCCTAACAGCTTGTGACAAGAATCGTGGTGTAAGACGTCCACGTAGCAAGACATCAAAGCGTTGTTGACTATGATGGTCCCACCTTTAGTAAAAGGGGCGTAAAGACCTTTATCGTATGTCCGGCTGATGTTAATCACAGGTGAATTAATTAGTTCCTTCCCAGATACAACGAACAAACAATCGCCAATAATTATATCTTTCGCTGGGATGGTTCGCTCCTGGCCATCACGCTTGCAGACGACTAGGTGATCTTCTGATAGAGACACGTGTTGTTCTGTTGTGTGTAAAGTCACGAACCAACTCAAAACATTCGGTTCCAGGTGACCGAACATGTAGACTTCATCGTACATCAACTTTCCTGTTTCATCTCTAGCTAAAACTTTGTCGCCGATTTGTAATTCATTCATGTACACGCTTGTACCATCAATTAATGTTATAACTGCATTGGAAGGAAAACAAGAATTCTTACTTACTTCCCCCTCCACAACATCGTTCACAAAACGGTTGATTTTGTCATGTTCTTCCTTTAAAATATCAATGACTTTCATCACTTTTTGGGTGTTACGCAACTGAGTAATATTCATATCGCCTTTCGCTTTGATTTCATTTTTTATCTCTTCCAAACCTTCTTTCAAATTCTGAACATTCTCCCCCTGTTTGTCAGACAAAATTGTATTAATATGTTCAATCTGATCTAAAAATGATTTAATATTTATGGTTTCAGTTTCCTTGGGTTTATTGCTGGAGAGTTTAGAGAGTGTTGTTTCGATACATTTCATTGACTCTGAAACTGCCTGACTCAGTAAAGGATTATTAGCAATGTATTGATTTCTGGTTTCTTCAGCCCGTTGAAACGTTTCGTTATCTAAGCAAGGGGCATTAAGACTGTCTACTAGTTTCACGAGTTTAATGAGTTGCTGTTTTCTTTTGAGTTTGTCCTCGGTTTTATTGTCAAATAACACACATCGATAGTTACAGTCAGCTAGAAGTTGCTTGAAAGTAGGATCGTGTTTTTGATGAAGATAAGCGTCGAAATCTTCACATGTATCACCATATGTAAACACCAAGATCCCGTGAGTTTTTAAAACATTTTCCCCCAGAACAGCTTTAATAAGCTTGATTGCATTTTTTTCTTCAGCCGTCATTCTGATATCGTACTTCATCACTATAACAAGCGCGTGAAAACCCCCGCGACATAACGTTATCCCGTGACTTATACACCGCACCGCGTGAGCGATGGAGGCTGCGTCCTTGGCATTGAAAGCTGTATCAATAACACCTGGTGTGTCGACCACAGTGAGCAGACGGTCATCGATCACGTTGTACTTGCACGACGCCGTGTCTGTTGCTGACTTGGTGCTGGACGAGCTTTTAAAGGCGTCCTCGGTTTCAATGATACGACTTGCAGCAACGCTTTTGCCCTGGCCAGTTTTGCCAACAATCAGCAACTGAATGTCCTTACCTTTTGGTAAACATTCTTTTATTTCCTGGTAATATAATAAATAAATAAATCTTAGTATATAGGCCTACACACACACTAACACACACTAACCCACACACACACACTCATATATATATATATATATATATATATATATATATATATATATATATATATATATATATATATATATATATGCAAGTACGATCAATACATACATGTAAATAGGTAAGTACCTTAATATAAGATGTGACTTCTTTAAGTGGATCGATTGCAGAAAGTTTAGACCACTCTTCCTCTGACAATGTGCTATGATAATCTAAATTGATGATCGCCTCTCTGATAACATTTTTAGCTTTAGTTGCCTGATGAACGATGGCCTGGGTTCTATCGAATATTGCTCTAGGCTGCGTGAACTCGATCTGTTTGAAAAGATCCTGAAAATAAACATTGTTACACTTGGCTTTGCATGTCTTATGGCTCGTTGTGTCAGGTTTAACAAGATCAAATAGAACAAATCAACGACGACCACGCCGAAAGATGTTCGTGTTGAAACATAGAGACAGCATATTATGTTGTAAACAGGTAATGTATAGACCTACATACATATAAAAACATACATAAATAAAAATTTACAAAGACCTACAGATTTGAGACAAATACATATATATATATATATATATATATATATATATATATATATATATATATATATATATATATATATATATGTTACTAATGTGTATGTTCAGTAGTTTGACCTTTTTTTTTGTAAAACATTTTTTTTAAATGTACGCAGTATTCGCTCTGTATTTCTTTGATGTCAATTTTGTTCGCGGGTTTGTCCACACTAGGGCGCTGACGTTCCATACCTTGCTGTGTGAACGCCTTCAGTGTACTATTAACACTTTTCGGGACGGCGTGGCCTAAGTGGTAGAGCGCTAGGCTGATTACACGAAAGTCTCTAGTTCGGATTCGGGTTCCCAAAGTTCACTAACTGTGTACCTACCTCATGTGCTGACTAAAAGTTTCTGTTATATGCCAAGGTCAAGAAACATAAATTTCATCTGCCCATTTAATCGCTAGGTCTAAAGTGGATTATTTTTAATAATAATTAAATAAGCATGCCAATGTGAAGGTTTGAATCTTGAATCTTGAATCAGTTTGACTGAACCCCAGTCCACTTCCCCTAATCATCTGACCCCATATACTAAGGTAGCAGATGACAAAAGCCTTCCTTGGTGAGTACTTAAAACATCCGAAAAGTTCATGACTATTCGATGCATGGTGTAGTAATACATAACAGAGACACTGATATCCTTTTTTTATACACATGTTTTAAAATCGTATTACATCTACTACCTCAGTCTTTTGAAAGGCCATTTTAACATTTCTACACAGTGGATACAAAAGAGCTTTGCTGATTCTTTTAGAGGAAGGTTCCGTAGGGTTTTCTAAAAATAAAGGGAATATACACATAAACATAAACATACATAAACATATATATATATATATATATATATATATATATATATATATATATATATATATATATATATATATATATATATATATATAATGCATACAAATGTATTTCATAGTTGTGGTATTGCAATATAAGTGTATGAAACTTGTGGCCACTCACCTGCTTTAATATATTGCAGTACAGCTCGAGTAAAAAACAGTTCATTCTCGGCGTTTGAGAACTGAGAAAACTGGTCTTCAATGCCCGAGTAAGATGGAACTGCTGCAAACAAAAATTACCAAAGTATAGCGTGGGATCAGAGGTGAATAAGGCGGTGTGTTTTGAAAGGAAAGTGTATGATTGTTAACTCGTAAGTCCCGTGTTCGAACCCCGGGCAGATGAGGCTGGGCACAGAAACTTATCAAGGAGAAAAAACTCCAAAATGAAACAATTGTAACCGTGCAGAATGTTCTTCGTTGGACAGAGTCTACTGAAGCTAATCTAGAAAGAAAAGTAGCCTATAGTCGGTGTCAACGGACCATAGAACACATAAATGTTGACACGTAATACTTTATTGTGTTGAAGAAAACAAATCCAATATTACAGTTATGAACGAAGAAGAATAAGGATGTGCCACCCACTAAATAGACATGTCTTGAATTAAATACACGCAAAATAAACCGATTTGCTAATAATGAATTTAAGTTTAAATATTTAACATACCTGAAGCAAGCATTTTAACGTTGCAAGAAGGTAATCTAGTGTTGTTGTATATGATATTGTCTGTTTTTCCCCATAAATCACATTGATGAGTAAAGTTATTTATAACAGAAATAAGGTTAGGGATGCTGGACGGCAAAATTGTATCAAAGGAAATTATTTTTATCGTGACTGCTAAGTTTTTATACACTGATCTACTTCTTTTGAGAGTGTTAATAATTCTTTGTAAAGCTTTAGTTGTTTTGAGAACGTCGTGTTTTTTATTTTCTGATGCATCCGTGAAATCTGACTCGATTTCTTCGACAAACTCCTTAAGAAGCTCAATGTCTGTCAATAAAAAAGATCAACATTCAAGATGTGTTTTTTACTATACATATATCGACATTCAACGTGTATATTTAAATAAAAGTTAAATACATTATTTAAAATATGTTTAAAAAAACTATTTAAGTCTACAATGCTAAAAATTTTAAAAACAGATAAATATATATATATTACACATGTATTGAAACAAATTACAATGTCGAATTTATAAATATTTTTTTAAAATAAATGACAAGTAGAACCTACCATCGCACACAAAGGTCAAGGCTAGAACAAGCTCACTCCCAACATCAAAGGAAATAACCCTGTGTGAATCGTCTGCGTTGCCGAGGTTTTTAGTTAAATCTAGTCTTTTTTCGTTTAACAATACTTGTCTGACCTGTTTTGTTGTGGAAGTTTTATGCACTAATCAAATGAAAAAAAATATTGTTCTGCCTTTGCAATCAAATATTTTCTTTATTGTATGTTTAAAGTAGATTTTGATAATATAAGAGATTCTTAGTGTCCTTTATAAATGGGTATTTCTTATTTATATATATATATATATATATATATATATATATATATAACTATATATATATATATATATATAACTATATATATATATATATATATATATATATATATATATATATATATATATATATATATAACTATATATATATATATATATATAACTATATATATATATATATATATATATATATATATATATATATATATATATATATATATATATAACTATATATATATATATATATAACTATATATATATATATATATATATATATATATATATATATATATATATATATATATATATAAAACTATATATTATATATAACTATTTAATTAGTAAAACACCATAGACGTAATTGGCTGATTACCTTAACATAATTTAATCTAAAAATGACTGTTACAGCAGATTCCAATTGAAAACTTTGTAGACAGGCAGAAACAGTTTCGTTGTTGTAAACCCCAGCATCAACCTTTAACGCATATTCAATCGGTATGTCTAGGACTTGGCACAAGTCGTCAATGCTTGTGATGATGGAAAAATTGCTACTGACTTCATTCACCTGAAAAACAATTATTAAAATTGTACTACTATGTTGTTCGATGAAAAATTTTGTTTTGAATGCGATGGCTAAAATCTAGTTTGTGTCGCTTTTATACTAAAATAGATTTTCACACCGTGAAGTGGCGTGGCATAGCGGTATAGCACAAGACTGCTATGCCGAAAGTCTCGCGTTCGAATGCGAATTCAAGTGAGTAGAATGTCCCTGAAAGTGGACAGTTCCTAGCACGCTATCCCGAAGTCTCGGAAGCAGATGAACTCTACTTCATCTGCTCCATGTGTCTTGGGCACGAACGTGAAAAAAAAAGATCTTTATATGGATAAAACATGGAAACACCAGTACTGGAAACTAGATTAAATTGTTTTGTCGCCGCTTTATTCAATATGTTCACAGGATGTAAATAATACAGTCAATGATATATTAAAACTTACCGTTTCATATTTTGAATCGCCATTACGTGTAAACGATTTATATTTTTCATCAAGCTTGGCTAGCGTTCGGGGATCCAGAGGACATCCGATATTCATACCATGATGGTACGGTATTTTTACAGACATTTTCAAGTCTTTCTCTTCGATCATGCAGGTGATGTAAATTGTAAATGTATTAAGAACTACGTTTTACAATATAATAGATAAAATAAAATTCATAACCTAAGAGTATCAATTCCCACGTCTCGTATTTACAATCAGTGCAATGTTCACCTGTTTATCGCTATATCTAAGCGTGTAATAGCTGTGGTATCTGAAGCAAATTAAAGTACTATTCCCTACTTATCAAGGCTGGTCTTGTTTACAGTAAATAATCTATTAATCTATATATGTTTTAATGTTGTAAATTTTAAATATAAAATATGTCAAATGCAATTTAAAAAGTTGAATTTTTTTTTCTCTTGTATTAGTTTGTTTGGAGATTAATTTAATTTTTGTAAATATCAGAAAGCTTGTATGTCGAGTTATGCTGTATGCAAATAGCTATAATTGCAAATGTTAATCGATCAGAAATTTGGTTTTTAGTTTTCTTAGGAACATGTGTATTCAGAATTTTATTTTAAAGAATGTTCGAAATGCTTAGTAAAATAATTCCATCTTATATAAGTAATTGTTCAAAAACAGTGTATGTCAATAAGCTGATTACAAAGCTTAAAGTTTACAGTACTAGTTACATTTTTATCAGCCAGGAACATTTTAAATGTTTAAAATACATACTTATCAACTTAGAAGGTTTCATTTTATTTCAGAAAATATTGCTGCTTGCTTGTATATACGCATTGATCCGCTTTGTCGACACAGGTGCACAGACGGTAAGTTTTTCATTACCAGTTATGGCTAATTTACACAGCGGTACCTAGATATACGTGTGCCCCAACATACGAGATTTTTTAGATGCGAGCTGTTGAATAAGGTAACATTCGCTTTGACGTATCAGCATAATTTGAGGTGCGAGTTTCCGGATTAATGGGTTTAATCGTTCGTAGAAAAGAAACACCCAGAACAAGTTGCAGCTGATTGCAACTATTTAATGACAATTACCAAACTCATTCCCTAAACATTCTAAAAAAGGAGGAAAAAAAACCTCCCTTGACAGGTTTATTTTAACGGTCTGTGTGAAGAAGTGGGGCAAGTGAGGAAAGTTTGGTGAAAAAGCAAGGACCAGCGAAGTGAAAAGTATTGAAGAAAATTTAGCAACCGTAGCAAAGCATCAAATAATAACACTTAGTTTCAATTATGTTTATTCGGTAAAGTTTAAGTTCCGCTAAGTTTAGGGATAAAGAGTAGCGTGTGAGGAGTAAGGGAATATAAGTGACTGAAAAAACTGAGCTTCAACAGTATGTAAACGAAGTGGAACTCTTTCTTTTGCCTATCTCTACCACCATACACTAGGTCTATTCCTCCACCATCATCTTCCGTCAGTTGAAGACAGATGATTTTAATGGTAAATACAATTAAAAAAACAATTTATTTCCTTGCATTAAATTATATAATGTTATTAAAAACTATTTGTCATGTATAAATAACTTTTCGTAGTAAAAAAAACACAACCGGGGGGGGGGGGGGGGCATTTTAGGGGGCTGGGACAGATTACTGGCATTTTAGTTAATTTTCAATTAAGAATTTTTTTTGAGAAACGAGCTATTTGACAAACGAGGTATGTTGTTTACGTATAATTGTTTCTATTTATTAAAACGTATGTATATATACAAACATATATTAAAACTTAAAGCAAGAGTCTTCTTTTAACATTTTTCGAGCTCTAAAATGTTGAAGACGGTACCGCAAGAA